AGGCTGGTTTATTTCTCAAGATATGCGCTGTGGCAGGTCAAGTGCTATATGAAACAACTGCTGTCTGGGCTTGAGCATTGCCACAACCATGGTGTCTTGCACCGGGATATCAAAGGTTCCAATCTGTTAATTGACAACGAAGGAATTTTAAAAATAGCTGATTTTGGACTGGCTACTTTTTTTGATCCTGAGAAGAGGCAACCCTTGACTAGTCGAGTTGTCACTCTCTGGTACCGCCCTCCTGAACTTCTTCTTGGTGCCACTTTCTACGGAGTTGGGGTTGACCTTTGGAGTGCGGGCTGCATTTTGGCAGAGTTACTTTCCGGGAAGCCTATTATGCCAGGACGAACAGAGGTATTGTGGTTACTTTGTTTAATCTGTTGCTTTTCTCTTTAGGTTATCCGTTCTGTCCATGTTGATCAATTATTCCTGATTCTTGAGTAATGAGTAATGATTTGTTGCTCCACTCTTTTTGAAACTACGTTGCATCTTTGTTTGGTATGCTTATACTTGTAAGGCTACAAGTAAAATACAATAGTTCTTGTGAGATGTTATTCCTGTCTCGTCTAAATGGTTTGAACTTTGGTATCTTAATCTTCTTGATTGATGTGTTGACATTTTCTATTCATTCATATGACTTCAGTTTGACAAACACCTTTGAATTGTTTTCCTGTACAGGTTGAACAACTGCATAAGATATTTAAGTTATGTGGCTCCCCATCTGAGGAATACTGGAAAAAATATAAATTGCCAAATGCAACACTTTTTAAGCCACAGCAGCCATACAAGCGTTGTGTAGCGGAAACATTCAAGGATTTCCCACCTTTTTCGCTACCATTAGTTGAATCTCTTCTGTCACTAGATGCTGATGGACGAGGCACTGCCACCGCTGCTCTAAATAGTGAAGTAAGTACCCTCTATATAATTCCAGTTTTCGCTGAGGAGAATATAAATGTGAAGCTAAGTTTAATAATTTGAAAAGTAAAACATCATCTCCCATCAGAAGAAAAAGAAAAAAGAAAATAATCATCAGAGTGGTTAATTAGTTCAAGGACTCTGTGGCATTCAGTGTCTACTAAAGAAGTCTTCTTAAAAATTATGCTTCTTGCCAGAAGAAACATATATCACCCTCTTGAAGTTAGCAAGTGCTTAAGGCTGACTGCGTTCTTTACGATTAACTGACCTGCTGGCTGTGCCAGATTTTTATTGTGTCTAATTGCATATTTGGTGATCTGGGTACAGTTCTTTACTACCGAGCCTTTTGCTTGTGAGCCATCAAGTCTACCAAAATATCCACCCGCCAAAGAAATGGATGTAAAGTTACGAGATGAAGAAGCTAGAAGGTTACTCCTTTACTTTTCTTCATGTTTGCTGGTTTCTCATTTGAGCATATGATAACAGATGATATTTGTTGTCCTCAGGCAAAGAGGTCTCAGTGGGAAACCTAATGCTGCTGAAGGTCCCAGGAGAGTTAAAGCTCGTGATCGAGTTGGTCGGGCAGTTCCAGCTCCAGAAGCTAATGCAGAGGCTCAAGGAAACTTAGATGTACGTGAAGCTTCTCTCTCTCTCTCTCTCTCTCTCACACACACACACACACACACACACACATCTTACCCCACTCCTTCAAATTAGAAATAACCTTATTATTTCTGGAATGTCATTTGGGCTTTTCATAATTCTGAGTCGAACTGCATAGGCTTCGCCCTTTCTTAGTTGCATCCAGGTCTTATCTTCTGTGCGTCAAGGACTTCTGTTTTCCCTTTTCGGTGCAGTATATGGACATGAACCTGGAATTAAACTTCCCCTAGTTTTAGGGTTATGTTTTATGAATTTTAGGTTGAGCCTGACCTTTGACGTTTCTCTGTTTGGCATGAACTCAACTTGATTAATAGAATGTGGTGATGATATTTTTGACGATGCCAAATTTCTTGAACTATTAAGTAATGGGGTAGATCTGACAGTATTGGATCATTACATCAGTTTACATTGGACACCATCACCGATATACGAACATATCAGCTAACAATTTTCCTCCCATTTTGATATTGCTATGCTTTGGTTGGGAAAGAGAGTAGTCACCACAAGGAAAATCAGTATGCGAACAGTGGCAGTGTCGTGCCTTAATTTTGGGTAGTACTTGTCTTAGCTAACTCTTAAACTCTGATCTTTGCTGATTTCCAGAGGTGGAGAGTGATGACACAAGCAAATGCCAAGAGCAAGAGTGAGAAATTCCCACCCCCACATCAGGATGGAGCCGTCGGATACCCACAAGAAGCATCACATAAAGGACCGCTCTCATTTCTCACGACAGATGCTTCATTTGGATCAATGATTTTGAACACAAAGTCTTCATCATCTGTTAAAAGCATGGGAGCGGTCGGGGGGCCTTCAAGGAGGAAGAAAACAAATAGAGAAGACCCCTTGATGGCTCCTCCTCGGAAGTTCATCCAGGCGTTCAAGCCTTCCTCGATAGGGCTATCGATGAATTTATTGTTTAAGAGTAAATAATCGATTCCTCTGGGTTTTTTTTTGTTTTTTTGAAAGCTTTAAGGTAGAGAAAGTATCGTTTCTGTCAATCTTTTTTGGCCTCCCTTGAAATTAGGTCTCTCTCGAGCTTAGCTTGGTTTTTCGGATTGCAATCTTATTTGTTTTCTTCATTAATTGTTCCCATTTGTTGTAATATAAACCCTTGTAAGTGTTTCGTTGTATAATCCACACAACCAAAACGCCAGAAAGGAGAGTTCCACTTCTTCTGTACAGTATTTCAAATCAAGTGCTTTTCTTTGACATTGATGCTGCATTGGAGAAGCTTTGTTCCTGAAGCAAATGAGAATTTATGGGGGATTATATAATTGCATAGTGTAGAAGCGTTCATGAGCGGAAGTGCTGTTTAGATAAGCATTTTCAAACGACCCCAAACTCTCTGCAGCTGAATTATCAAATTACAATATGGACCTTTACAAAACTATTTTCCTACAAGTTAGAACATGTATTCCAGTATCATTTGCCAAAACAATATCGGGAAGGGAATAATTTCTGTACACCTTTAATTGTTTTTCTCCGTGCATGCTTCTGTTCATCCAAGTTTAACCTTTTCATACGACATCGTTTCAGTCGTTGTTTCACATGCACAGGGAACTCTCTATGATTTATTTATTTATTTTTTCTTTCTGAGTTTACTATTTATAATAACTCTTTAGAATATGCATATTCCACCTGATAGAAAAGGTTGAAAATATTTCCAGAGATATAGTCAGATGTTATAAATAGGCAAAAGTAAGAGAGATAACTCTTGTTTGAGATAGAAACGGAACGAGTACAATATATCACACAAAGGATGTAGGGAAAGAGAGGAGGGGGACATTGATATTATTGTTTTTCACTCTTGATCTGATGTGCTGTAGTGAAGTTACAAACATGCCTCTATTTAAAGGAGTTTTGTCCGTCAACTTCTTACATACAAAAATAAAATATTTCACCTCCCCATGACATTTTCATCTAATGCACTTAATAACTTTCACCAAAGTCCACTTTGGTTAACTTTCTTACACAAACACATGTGTGGCATTCACCCCACATTTCACTAACATCTGAATTAATATGTCAATTATAAACCGAGATATTAGTCCAAGTTTTGAGCAGGTAAGAGCGTAATTACACAAAAAATATACGAAACGATGGTCGAAATTTCAGAATATTTTCTGTGGAAGATAACTAATTAAGCATCAATATACAGCTGATGAAGTCTCTTCATTCCTTAGCAGAGTCAAGAGGATGAGGGTTACTGAAGTTGAGAAATATCTCCAGCCTATTGGTTTTCTCGTACTAATTTAGTCGAGGATGAGGTTTTTCTCAACTCTGCCTTCCCTTCTGACTCAGATATGTTGCCATCTCCAACCGAAGGATTCAGAGGGTTAGAGGGCCAAAAATAACCCGAAAACCATCTCCAACCGAGGGCTAGGCCAAAGAGCTGTGGAATCTGAGAGGACCCCACGGAATCAGAGAGGGCTGGAAGGCTGGCTGAGAGGCTGGCCAGAAAATATAGCTTTCCTTTCGGTTATAACCGATAGAATTGCTTAAAAAAAAAAAAAAATTTGAATACAACGGCTAGTCAACTAGTCGTTGTATTCAAATTTTTTTTTTTTTTGGTTTTTTGGGCTAATTTTTTTTTTTAATTCTTAAAAATTCTAATTTTTTTTTCTTATAAATACCTAAACCATTCATTAAATTTAAATTCTAATTTTTTTGGTTTTTTGGGCCAGTTATCGTTGTAGTTTTTAAATTTAAGTTGTTGTAGTTTTTAAATTTAAATCATAAATTATGTTTGGCTCTATGGCCATTTGGCCCTCGGTTGGAGACGGTTTTTTGTGGCAGGGCTAAAACGAGCCCTCTGGCCCTTGGTTGGAGACGGAGGCAAATATGGTCTTGTACTGTTCATTAAAATATTAATATCTTGGAGAATCTTGGATGGCCAGAGGGCTAAAACGAGTCTTCTGGCCAGCCCTCGGTTGGAAATGACCTTATAGACTTCTTTCTAGTTGCTGTTGTTTAAGATTTAGTTTGTGTCCTTAATTTAAGTATTGTCTTACTAATATATAATGTGTGGTTTCATTGTAAATAATTACTGTGTTTTTCCGATAATCCGTCATTATATAAATGCTGTGAAATTTAATCTGTATTAGTTAATGTTATTTTCTTGTGATTTTGGACAGTTGATATCTGATAGCTTCTTTTGTTAACTTGACACCCGATCTATTAAAATTATATATATATATATATATATATATATTCTTTTGTATAGCTTCTTTAGTGTGTAAAATTAGCATTGCATCCAAATCTCAGTCTCTTGGATACAAGAATCTCTAAGAAACCTATCCAAAAGGCGTTTAAACCCTCGTGGATTTCAGTCTCTTTCTTTGAGGTATAAGAAAGATATTTATATAGGTGTCGGTTAGGCCAGTTGGATACTGCATGCCTTCCCCCTTGCACCTGAATTTAAATTCACCTCCGTGAATTCAAGTAGTTTAGAATAAGGTTAGGCGCCCTCTTGTCCTATGCCAAAATTTGAATTACTCTCCTCGAAAGTGGTAGTTGAAATTTTGAATGAAATATTTGAGTTTTTTGAGACAAGTAACTTTGTTCACCACCTTTAGTCGCTTGTCTGCAACCTCCATGCATGGATTATATCATTGTAGAAATAGTAAAAAATTGCATAATATTTTTGTTCATCCCCTTAGGTCCTTAGTGAGTCATGGCCCAGAATTGCAGGAAATTGAAAATCTCAATGGCCAAGAACAAGAAAGAGATCCGAAGGAAAAGTACGAAAATAATACTATCACTCTTCTTGCTCATCTTCATGGACAATCACTCAAGCCAACACGTTCTCTTCCACGCAGCTTCATCCTGCACGACAGTATAGGTGCAACTCCCATCCTGCAGGTGTGATTAGTGGCTTGTGGGGACTTGGAGATTTTGAACTGAAGGCCTCTTGGAACCGCAGCCCTGATATCATATGTTGGACAGCCACTAAACCCCAACCGCTATTAGGGAATGGATCAACAATGTATATCAAGCGTACAATTCCTAGCGTGATCAAGTGGCTGCAGATTTCTCGGCCAGATAGGTGGCTCTGTCTTGGCCACCACTGCAACCTGGGTAGTAGCATCCTTTAATGTTCAATAGATTCTTTACGCCGAAGCCATTTTTTACTCTTCTCCTTCTCCTTCCTTTCTTCTTTGTCTTTGTTACCTGGCCCTGAAAACATGAATGAAACATTTCGGAACAAAATCACAAACTTTTTTCTGCTTAATAAATCAATTACTTAAAATGCTCATAAGATATTTACATCATGGTGATCAGTCATTGACGCTACGCTATCAACATTGCTGTGTGCAGACGCAGCACTTGGCGACTTCTTGTGCTTGATATCCTCATCTGTAGTGCTGTCATACTTGCCTGCATTTGTATGCATCAATTCCACAAATGTTCATATTTTTTTATGAAATATTCAAATGTGCTACAAAAAAGTTGCATCCAATTTTTCTGTGCCAAAACTTACTGCTATCATTTTCAATTTCCAGAGCTTCCATGCAATAAACTCTAAAACTTGGTGACGCGGGGCACATAAAAAATTCGTTGTTTCTTCTAATACCACCTTCATTATCTTCGTCCTCTTCTTCTCCCTCTGTGGTGTCCTCCATTGCAAAAACCCCTCCTACATACACATTCACACCCTTTGGTTCTTTATGATCTTCAACGCTACATTCCGTTCCATCTCTCTTGATCTGCTCCTTGTTTTGGTTCTCATCATCAGCCTGTTTTGTGCCTTTGTCACGTTCCGGCGAAATTGGTGCAACCTTGGACTGGTTCTCCAATGTTGGTGGTATCTTCGGACGTGTTAATTTGTCAGACTCTGGTGATGACTGCAGCGAATGAGGGAGAGAGTTATCAACCTCCTCCTGATCACCGTCCTTAAGTAGCTGTTTCTTGGAGAGAGTACTAGCGGCTTTTAGCTTTCGTGCCTTGGACCTGCTCTTCATCTCCTCGAAGCGCCTCTGCAAGAGGGAACGGATTCGAGGAGGCACAGCCTCGGCTTCTGGTGTGAGCTTTGAATTTTGGCCACCCATTAGAGAGGACAACAATGGGGAATGGCCACAAACGGTAGGAAGAAGAGAAGTAGAAGATAATTGGATTTGGGAAAAAATGAGTCGAAGGGAGAATATGAAAGAGATCGTCAAAGGCAGTTAATTAGTTAATTATACGATAAACTTCATGTTCCTTGACAGTTAGGCAACTAAAAAAAAAAAAATTGCAAATATTTGGTTTGAAACTTTGGCTAACTGTTAAATTATGGTTTTAGGTTTGGTTTGGTTAATTATAGAAAATTGTTGGGGTTTTGTAAACGAACTTACTATATATGTAATTTGTAGTTGTAAATTTTTTTTTGTTTTATTTTTTATTTTTGTTTTGGGGCCATTTATTTCGGATGTTGAAAGAGTCATATGCAATGCCTTGCCAGCTTTGTTTATTGCTACCGACGGTGTGTTGCTAGCTTCAACAAAATTTCAGTTCTAAACCCTAATTAAGGCAAAACATTTCAGTTCTAAACCCTAAGATGGATTTTATGTCCAAAATCATTTTAATTGAAAATGTAATGTAATGTGATGTTAGTCAGTGGCATAGTTAGAAAATTAAATATTTTCAACTTTAAAAAAAAAAAATCAAGCTCATTTTTTGACATACCAAGCTAATTTGTTTGCCATGTTAAATCTCCTTAGTTTTTTTCTCTTCTCTAAGTTTTTATTATGATTTTTGTTTTACTTTTATATCAATAAAGATCTAACTCATTCAGATTAACCTGATTTTGAATGGACCATTTGGTCAGTAAATATACATCTATGATCTACCTAAAATTGTTTGAAAATTTGGTAACCCTCTTTATTTTTTTCTTCCATATCCAACGGTCTAGAATTTACGAGTAGATAGTGCAAATCTGATTTAAACAAATTCCAATCCAAATACAGCTATTTAAATAGAAATTTCAAGTGCAAAGTCTTCATAGGTAATAATTTTATGCTTTTTTCCTTTTTGTGTGTAAATGTTTATATCTCCTTTCAACGTTTAAAACTAGGAAAGAAGCTGAAATGAAAGTCCATGTGCGCGCTCCCATATTCTAGCTGAGCTTTCATTTTGGACCTGGTGCTCTCCAAGAAAGGGTTTCCTTGATGCAAAGTTGATATATATATGCCTTGCTTCTTTCATACCCCTCTCTCCCTATCTCATCTCATTCTGACCTCTTCGAAAAACCAATTACCTTTTGAAATGAAAGGCTAGAGATTCCTGTAGCAATAAGCCCTTCCCCTTATCTTTTAATCTTTGTAATTTCAAAACATATGTATGTGTGTAGACATATACTAGCCTTCATGCACACGCTCACACATGTGCAGAAGACATTTTTTGACTCACAGTGTGTTACGCGCGACTTACACATTTTAAATGTATTTATATGCATAAATTGACAAAAGGAAAGTTAAATATTTGAAGTAAATGAATAATTTTAGATCATGTTAGAAGAAACCCCTAATAAACCAATTAAAGTAGCTGAATTCATATAATAAAATCGGTTTCTATAGAATTTACACTAAGAATATAGAAAAGAATATTTAATAAACAATTGATTGAATCACATTATTGCTAGTCCATTGTAAGGTTAAGCTCTCCTCCACCCCCTTAATGTAGATAATATTGTTTGTTAAAAAAAAAAACAATCATTTGATAATTAATTTAATCACATTATTATCCGCATACGAAAAACATTTTTTTATAAAGAAAATAATATTTAATAAATAACTGATTGAATCACATTATTGGTAGCCTTTTGTAAGGTACTAATTTTTATTTTTTTTTAAAAAAAACTTTACTAATTTATCACTGGCACTACGCGTCTCTTATGATGTTTTGAACACAATATTCATAATTTTCCTTATTTTTTATTATATTTTTCTTTCCCCTTCACGTGGGCACCATCAACTTTCACTTATCCTTCCATTTTTTTTATTCTTTTCTCTCTTCCCACATGTATTTATATTATATTTTATGATGTAAAATTACCAAATTACCCTTGCATGATTTGATATATTATGTTGGGTTGCTTTTGGATTTTTTTGGTTGAGGGGCAATTTTGTCCTAATATTTTTGTCGAAGCCGTGACACCAAAACTAGCTTCCGGCTTTATATATAGATTAACATGCATGTTATAGTGTCAAACAAGGGAGAAAAAAACTTGTGTAAGGGAATCTGGAACACGTCATTAACAAGCCAGCTTTCACAAAATATTGTGTTGAAATATCCTACATCGGTTGTATTTATGAGAAAAGAATAATTTAAATATCCTAGCTCCACTCCAACTAATACCAAGCTTTTTGTGATAAAACCCCACTCTTAACGGATTATGCAGATGATAATTAACAAGTTGAAGAAGGTATCGGTGTTGTTAGAAGTGGGCTTTGGCCCTTCTTTATGATAATTTAACATGATATCAAAGTTAGGGAGTGGGCATGTACTGCCATGTGATGGGTGGGTCCCTTTGGCCCCGTGCAATTATGGTGGGTCCCTTGCCTCCGCATGTAGGGTGAGTCCCCTTGGCTCCACGTGGTTGTCAATGTGTGGATCATCACCCACTAATTGGGTCCTATATGAGGGGGAGTGTTGAAATATCCCACGTTGGCCATATCTTCGGAAAAAGAAGAGTTTAAATATCATAACCTCATTCCAACTAATACCGAGACCTTTTGTGATAAAACTTCACACATAACGGATTGTGTAGAGGGTAATTAACGATTTGGAGATAATATTGATGTTGTTGGAAGTTGGTCTTTAGCTTGTCTCTCTAATAGTTTGACATGTTGGACGCCCGATATAAGAGATGCCCTAATCGGGTAGCTCTAGTTATTAAGTTTTTCTCCAAAGGAGGATGCTGAGAATTGGGTTCATATTCTAAAAGTTACCAAGTTTTACATCCACCAATCTCTCAAAGCAGTAAAGTTTCTGGAAGTAGATTCATTTCCTTTTCATGAACACGACACGCGAAAGAACACTGATACATTTAATTAACATGATCAAAATTTAGGGCGGCCACTGATTTCCTTAGCACCTTCTTCACTTGAAGATGTTACTTCTGTGATCCCACTAGCTAGGAACTCGAACAAGATGAAGAAGAAGATACAGGACTTACATTGTCGCAAACTCTGATGCCATTGTAATTCACCATAATCTCCTCATCCGTCTTGCCATTTCTTTTCTTCAAAAACACGCGACACAAAACCCAGTTTCCTTTCGGGGTTAAAGCATTCTGCATAAAATTACTGTGTCAAATGATTTTTTTTTTTTTTCCTTTTTTAATAAGACGAAATATATGCTAATCTACAAGTGGGGAGATTTGAACAATTAAGTGCACAGGGGTGCTATAATACCAGTTGACCAAACCCATACGTTCATGTCGAACATCTTGAGTTTGTGAAACAAAAACATAACCTTGTCCTAGACTCACCTCAGTTGTGTGAATGGAAGCTGTGGTTTCTACATTGACAAGACAATATTCATGCATGACCCAATCAGTCTTAGAAACATTTGGAGACTTCCCTTTGTAGAAAACTAGAGTCTTTTTCTTCCCCACAATATTATTCTTCCTTGAAGATGCAATCTTTTTGTCAACGCCGGTCGCTTTCCAGTAACCGGAACTTGTCACCCTGTTAGCTCGGTTTCCATTCCGGTATTTTGATTCTCTGTTGCTGAAGAAATACCTCTCTTGCTCCAAATCACCTGGAAACATACCACACATAAAATGTCAGTTTTTATAAGTGGAAAAATGTATTAAAAAAAAAAAATTAAAAATTAAGCTAAGTGGTTAGTGGTAATATATCTGTGTAGTTTATGCTAACCTGGCAAATCCCAAGGATCATACAGGCAAACGTTGATCTCAGGAATAATGGAAGCAGGAAGGGGGCATGAAAAGACTTTGCATCTCAGGTAGTGAAAGACAAGTTCTTCATCTGTTGGCTGGAATCGGAAACCAGGAGGCAATCTGGTCATCCCATTTCTCAGAGAGTTGAACTTGTCCATTATTTTGAAGAATGAAAGAGCCTTTGTTTCTTGGAACTTATTGGCCTCTGTTAAGAGATGAGCAAATGTGAAGCAGCCATGTTGAGTATTTATAGACAGAACAAGAGAAGAATTTGGAGAGGGAGTATCTTTTTGAGTGGTTGTACAAGAAAAAGAAAAGAAAAATGATTCGTAGCGGTGTGAATATAGAATGGGACAACAGTACTATTACTGGATGAATACTTTTGATGTTGACAACTAAAAAAAAAAGAGTTAATTGGTTTATTCTCAAACAACTGATGCTGCTAGTGAGTTCTTTCGTGCTATGTTTGAATGAAGAGCTTTTAAAGTTTTATGAAATTTTAATTAGACTTAATTGTTAAACATGCATTAGAAAGTTACTACTAAAACATTACAAATGTACGTATCCAAGGACGCTAAGCAAAAGACTTTTCAAATTGACAAAATTCTGTATTCAGTCATTTTCAAGTTGCTCCATCCAATTTTGGTGGTTCATTGTTAATACATTTATAATTTATTAAAGGTTTTATGAAATTTTAAAGCCTCTCGTCCAAACACATCATATAAAATCTAAAGCAAAATAAAATCTCTAAACCCATTGTGCAATAATAGTATAGTATAATAAAAGTTGGTAAAATAACATTTGAGTGTATGAGTTTGCTTCAAAACGAGACTTCAAGTGTTTTTGTCTGGAAAATGAAGTTTTTCAGAAGCTATATATCTATATGGTAACCCTTAAAAAGAAGTTTGACTTGCTCACAGATGATTTTCTTGTTTTTTTCATGTCTTTAATTTGTGATGCAAAGCAAATTCTTACATCTCCATGTCCTTGTTATAACGAGCATCTCATGTCAAAGAGATGTTAACTAGCAATCGATGAACATTGAGCTAATCCGTTATATTATACAGGAGTTGCTGAGGTCTTGGTGAAAATTTTCAAGGTAAGGCCGGCCACATATTACTCATTATACATTTAATTGAAATGGATTGGTGATGTATTTCTCATTCATATGAAGTCATCCGATGTCATGCTTAACTCAATACATGTAAAAACACATAAACTGTTTACCTAATTAAGTAAACTACGGCAAAGAATTAATAAGTAAAACTATGTGAAAGGAACATATGGAAAAACACACAAAAATTATTTACCTCAGGTGATGTGGAAAAACATATATAAAGAAAATTATTAGGGAATTGAGGAAATTATATTTTTGTACTACATAGATATAGATATAGATATACATGATGTAGCAAGTGATGGTAATGCGTTTGTATTGTTTTAGGTTTCGTTTAGAAGTACTTTTAAAATGACTAAAAACGCTTTTAAAAGAAAATATTTTGAGTTTTGGTTAAACGATAGATTTGTTAGATTAGATGTTAGATTAGGGAGTCAACAGGGATTGAACCCATGACGTGGTGCAAGGGCAACACTCCTCTTCACAAGTGTAGTAGAGGGCCACTTACAGCCTTGGTAGTAACTTAAAGAAAACAAATTACAAATTAATAGAAAATATACAATTGTAATTTATAATAATATAATATAATGGTTCAAAAAAATAATATAAAGTAATGTTTAAAAAATAATAGTTAAAAAAAGTATATATAATATAGAAAATACATTGCCTAATTTTGTACAAAAAGTTGCTCGTTAGTCATGCAGGTCTTTTTGACAGAGTATTTTGATGTTTGAAATATTAATATATACATACTCGTTTTATAGGATATTGTCTCAAGTACATGCAACGTTTGAAAAAGAAAATAAGTGAAGTAAAACCTAAAGTTTATGATAACTTGGTAAATTAAAATTATCCCCATGTAAAAGTTTGGTTACGTTGAGTAACCATCTCTAAAAGCAAAATTCCAAGAACCACATAAAATAATGCAACAGTAAAAACTGCATCATGCGTGCCAATAACCGAGCTATGTTCGTTAAGATACAGTTACTCCAAAATCATTCACAGTAGGCAATTTCTTGATTCTTCATCAGATGCCTAATCGATTTCATTTGCTTATGGTTGTTCTTCCAATATTAAAATTTTCTTTTATTTAGTGGTTTTGGACTAATTAGTTTAACTACGAGCTTCTTACTTTCTTTTGAATTATGGATGGCTGACACATAAAGGTTCACAGCAGCACATAAAAGATCTAAGAATTTTGTTCCTTTTTTTATTTGAACAATTGCTAATTTGAATGAAAGGAGCCACAAAAAAAGAACCTGCTTTTATCGAAAGCTATCCAGCTGAAAACCAATCGTCAACTCAGATTCGTTCTTTTCTTCATCACGAAGATCTAGCTTTAATCCTTTCTTTCCATGCATGCAGGTTTGATATAAAGATCTTCTGCTTCATAAAAAAAACAACCCGATTTCGTTAAAACAATGTCTCTGGCCAAGTGCTTATTTTGAAAGTACAGCAACAAAAGTTAACATGCTTATTTTGTTGTGTAATCTTTCATGGTAGTAATGTCTTGTGGCTTCACACATGGGCCTCAATATATGCAGCTGCTTTCTCTTTCCTTTGAATCTAAAGCAATTCTTCCAATAATTGGTTAATTTTAATTCATTAATTTGAGTCATGTATGTTTAAAGGAGATGTGATTATTGGACCAAAGAAAAGTTATAATGGTGGAGAAAAAGTCGTATATATGGAAAAAGTCGTATTTATGATTTTCATTAATTTTATAGGGTATATTATGCATGTGTTTAGTATCAAAAAGTTTAACATTGAAGAAAAGGAGTACAAATACTTAATGCATAAGAAAGTCTTTCAAAATTTGCTATCTTTTATAGCACTTTAATTTGCCTAATTTCTACTTTTAACAGGATGTCAAACCATTTGCATAAGCCTTAGCTAATGCTCTCATATACCTTGCATATTCCCTTTCCAATTTCTATGAATTAATCTTATTATATCAATCAACAAACGAAAATACTTGGCTACTTGTGGGGCCATTATCTATCAAAGTTCAATCGTTCATTTCTTTGAGCTCAATTATATGCCTCAAACATTTTTAATTTGACTAATATTTTGCAAGGATGATCTATAAAGTTAAACTTAAATAATAGACGGTTTAGATCATTGAAGTTCGATGTCGATTGGGCCCAGAAATAGTCCTATTTCAACGATCATTGAAGTACAAAAAAAATGCATATCTGTGACACCATTTTTATACAATTTTTACAACATTTTTTGTAGGGCTCATTTCGTAATGTATTTCAACAATTTAAACCATCTATCTTTTAGATCTTCCCTCAAAGGTCATTCTACCAAAAATCACCCAAATCTAAAACCATATGACCATTAGATTGAGGGTTTAAGGTTTCTTTGTAGAACCATATTCATCCATTTTCTTAGTATAAGTGAATGTCTTAAGGGCGCGTTTGTTTGGCTGGATTAAGTTTCATTGGACTGGACTACTTAGCTAGGATTAGTAGTCCAGTGTTTGGTGTGAATTAGGATTGTGTTTAATGGGATTAAGCCGGACTCGTGCCGACTAAATCCTGCGCTAGGTGGGCTTAGCGAGAGCCACCAAAAACGAGGGGATTCGTAGTCCCGTTTCTGTTCTTCGCTTCACCTCCCATTCTGTTCTTCGCCTCAGGCTTCACCTCGTGTTGCTTGCTTCGCTTCTCTCCTCCTCCCTCTTCTCCTTTTCTCAATCTCAGAGGATCTCCAAGTTTGCAATATTGGGTTTGACAGAAACGGATCCAAGAAATCCAAGCCATCACCGTCTCTCACTTCCCTGACTCCACAAACCCCGACTCGTCGCCGGTCAACTCGCCAGGCATCACTGTAGGCTGGTTCCGCCACTCTACAGACTTGCGGCTCTAATTGAATCCACAGACTTGGAAAGCTCTCTCCAGTTCGAATCTTGCATCGAACAAAAACCTGAAAAATAGAGGAGGGAAGGAGAGCGTGGGACGGAGAGAAAACCTTGGGACAGAGAGAATGAGAGCGTGGGATAGAGAGAACAAAGGAGATAGAGAGGAAGAAAAAGATGCAGGCTTCCAGAGAGAGAGAGAGTATTATTAGAATAAAAAAAGCTAGAATTAATTAATATAATATTATTAGATATGAATTAAAAAATATAATATTATAATTTGTTATTATCCTTCTTTTTAGTCCGACACTGCACCAAACGCTTCACTAAGCTAGTCCAATTTAGTCTAGTCTAAGCCAGTCCAGTCCCTGCAGCTAATCCAGTCCGAGACAGTCCGGTACAACAAACGCCCCCAAGGGTTTTGAATTTTTCTAATTTTTTTGTAAGGATGACCTATGAATGATATTAAAAAAGATAGACGGTTTAGATGGTTAAAATACAATATGTAGTGGATCCCACAAAAATTGTGTCAAAAGTTGTGTAAAACGTCACTGATCTGCCCCTATATATACATATCAGTTTGTGAATTGACAAAAAATGACTTGTTAACACAATCATTTGTTGCCATATGTGAATGACTGAACCACTTAGCCACCCAACTGCACATAGAAAAGACCCTAACCCTTTGTAGTTTATTTTTATTTTTTTTATTTTAATAACAAAGGTAAAATTTGTATTACCAACAAATAACTAAACAAAAGAGGTCTAAATACAAGTGATACACATCAAAAGCATGAACCCAAAATTACACAAAACAGGCCCCAAATCACAAGTTGGCGCCTAAAAACAGAAACACCACAAACCAAAAAACCTAGCCTTCTATAAACATCGTTGTCGCCTACACAGTGCATCCCTACCAGCATAATCCAACACCCCTGACTGCCGCCAAGAGTCCACAAGCCAGAAAAGAAGAAGATGGTGACTTCAACATCCTGCAATGAACACCACACTAAATGTAATCATAGATCAAAAGAAGCCAGTGAAAACCCACCAACAATAGTGCCAATAAAGGCAAACAAATGGAAGGTGGTGGTGTGTACACCTGAGCCGAACCTCTACACACATTTCAGGAGAACCGCAACCAAGTGTGGTGAAGAAAGGTGATTGCATAATGAAAAAGAGGTAGGAATGATGAAAGACAGAGCCAACCCGGAAGGGGAGTGGGGAAAATGTGAGATTTAGATTGAGAAGGAAAGATGAAAGCTATGGAAGAGGATGGACAACACTGATTTGAACAAAGAAGAAACTAGAATTTAGAGTTAAGGATGAAAGACATGTAGATCAAAGATGGAATTAAGGTTGAAGAACAAGACTGAAATGGGATAGTAGACAAGGAGAAGAAGAAGCAGAACGATGGGAAAAGGGAAAAGAAAGGGGATGATTGCCACCGACTTTGACCACAACTAGGGTCATCGACAACAAAGAATTTACAGAAGTGGACAACACTCGCACAAAGAAGTGAGAAAAACTTTCAAAACTCTCACCACAACGGGGGAGAAAAAGTTGAGGAGTAACCGTCAATAGTTTGCTTCGACTTCTTGTGTCTAGTGTTCTACACACAAGGTGTTTGGATATAAGAATTTCTCCACCTTCTTATTGATTTCAACTAGATGTGTAAGTTCGATTGAAAATTCGAATCCGAATTGAAATTTTCATTTCAAGTTCAAACATTTTCAATTTTGAAAATTTTCGAATCACAATTGGAATGTAAATATCCAATTTGAAATTGCAATCCAGAAATTCTCAAACTTAGTACTATAGAAAAGAAAAAAAAAAACCTGTACATATTCTTATTTTATTGTGTTTATTGTTACATATGGATATGCTTTATTTCTTATTTTGTATATTTAATCATATTGATATATATTAAACATGAAGAGTATAATCATACATACTATTTTAGTTTGTTTAATATGATTTTATGTCATACACCAATGTAATTGCATATAAAATTATAAATATAACAAAAATTCAGAAAAAATATTAACTAGTGGATACATAAAAGTTTAAAAATTTCGAAGTCTTGTAAAACGTAGGAGATCCAAATTACGTTTTAAGAATTTTAAGATAAAACAAATTCCGAAATTTCCTATAAATCCCGATAACCCAAAATTTCAAAGCTAAAACTAAAATATTTAATTCTAAAACTTTTTTGAATTTTCATTGGAATACTTGTTTTCGACCTGATCCAACCGAAAATCACCCTAATTCTCAACCCACATTCCCCTTCTTTGGGCCTACAAAATTTAAAACTTATAGGGGTCTTGGAGCGAATTAGCTTTCTTGTAAAATCTGGCCCAACAAGTTGAATGCCTTATTAGTTGCCGGTCTCCCCTGAGGTTTTAGAAAGTTTCTAGGGTTTTTCAGAGCGTCTGAGACGGTGGGATTGTTTTCAAATCTGAAGAATTTAGAAGGGTTTTAGCCGAATAGCGAGCACAAACTGCCATGGATCCTTCAGCAATGAACAACCCTGAACTGCTTAATTTCATCAACGTAAGATCTATTATCCTTCTCCCTGTTTATTTCCCGAGAAAATTCATGAGGAAGAAAATAAAGTCAGTTGCTTTTTATTTACTTCAGCGGATTAAAACTCTGAATTTATTTGGGGATTTATGGTTTTTGGGGTTTTTACATATCTATATGTTTGGGATTGAATATTGAATAGTACATATACAAGTATATGCATGTTTACCCCATTGAAAGATGTAATTTTGAGTTCTTTGCTTTTACGAATTTATATAAATCGACAGCAAACAATTTTTCCCTAATAATAGTATTGAGATTTTAATTGAGCTCACGATTAATTGGTAGTTTTGGAGTCGATTATTCGTTATCGTTTATTTTTTATTTTTTATTTTTGAAGTGAATGGGTGAAAATCTTTATCTTTCAGTGTTTAGTTCAATGCTTCAATTCTTTAGAGTGAACACCTTGTGCAACATTGTCGAAAGCCTGAAAATTGTTCCAAATTTCGCCCCCGAACTCCATTTTGATACTTAACATTGTGTGATAGCCTTTTACCCCTTAATTCGAATTGATCTTTTTACTTGTTGTGGGGCTGAAAAGAGAAGAATATAAGAATGATTATGAAGTTATTGACGAATGACGAATTGAGATGTTGCCGCTATAGCCTTAAAACTAAACTCAAATGTTTTATCTTGATTGGTTGTGCATTGACTAATCTTCTGGCGATATGCTTGGTAGCATTGTCGAAACAATATAGTGTTTTTTGAACCTTGCACAACCACTTACAATGTGATTATTACTACGTTATTCCTGTTGCTGCTGCTAGTTTGTTACTTTCTCCGTCAGTATACTTAAGCCATTGATGGTTGATTTTTTTTAAACAACGGTGTGCTTGATGTGCAGCAAGAGAAGGAAAGAGCAATGGTGAACGAGATGGTGGGAAAGCTTACAAATGTATGTTGGGACAAGTGCATCACCAGTACCCCTGGGAGCAAGTTCAGTTCCAGTGAGTCCGCTTGCCTGGCAAACTGCGCCCGCCGGTACCTTGATATGAGTATGATTATTATGAAGCGTTTTCAGAGTATGCAATGAAGGTCTAGAAGTTTGGCATGCTTTCTCAATTCCGTAATGTGGTCCGTTTTTGCTTATGGAGTCAGTTAAATATCAGTTGAAAATGTGTTCTGCATTTCTGGAAACAACTTCTCCCTTTCTCGAAGCTATTGTAGTCGATACCTCTTCCAGCACTATTATCTATCAAATTTTTATTGAATATTTCATATTGTTATTGATGTGATGAATCATGAATGTATTGCATGTTGCAGCTGTAACTCGATGCTCGAAAGTTTGAATATTTCAGCAAGCAAAATCTCTGTGAATTTTGACTTGGAATCACGGGTCGATACGTATCCCTGTCGGATCCGAAGAACGTCCCGCAACCCTTCATCCGACCCAACTTGAACTCGCCCTTGTACGTTGCACCCGACGGCCACGATAACTTGCCTTTCCCCGACACCTTGCCACGTCGCCACTGGCCTTCGTACATGCACCAGAGGTACTTGCCGGATCCGTGCGGGAATGACGAAGAACGTCCCGCAACCCTTCATCCGACCCAACTTGAACTCGCCCTTGTACGTTGCACCCGACGGCCACGATAACTTGCCTTTCCCCGACACCTTGCCACGTCGCCACTGGCCTTCGTACATGCACCAGAGGTACTTGCCGGATCCGTGCGGGAATGACGAAGAACGTCCCGCAACCCTTCATCCGACCCAACTTGAACTCGCCCTTGTACGTTGCACCCGACGGCCACGATAACTTGCCTTTCCCCGACACCTTGCCACGTCGCCACTGGCCTTCGTACATGCACCAGAGGTACTTGCCGGATCCGTGCGGGAATGACCGGGAGAAGCTCCCGATGTAGAGATCTCCATTCATGTTGTGATGAATGGAGTACGCTTTAGTACTGGAAAACAGAGAGGTGAAACAAACTTCGAACATACACGAAAAATTGGTTCCACATTTACACCACGAAAACTGAGGTGGTCAAATTACAGATGGAAGTAACAAGAAAAAGGAAGATAAACTCGTGATGGCATTGCACACGTTGGAAAGAATTGACTGCTTGAGAGAGCAGTTCTTTCAAATTTCACACTTAATATACAAACAATATAACACGCTTAACATTTCCAAAAGCTCGTAGCCTTTCCTCGTGTTTGTTTTCTTTAGTATAATCGCCTTCCTGTTTATCGAGTATTTACAAACTTGTACGGGATTGTCCAATGTCTGTTGTCAACTTGCCGTTGATTCCATTTCCATCAGTCACCCGCCTCGAATCCCCAACTCCAGCTGCAAAAGCAAGAACTTCGGGCGCTATATCTAAACTTCCACTCCTCCTCCCCCAGCTAGACCGTCTAGGTTGTGAGGCAACGTGTCTCTCTGTGCTCTCTGTTCGGAGACTCCTGCTTAAATCTTGGGACCTATCAGCCTCGCTCACTGCGGCGTCCTTGTTTACTCCATCATCGTTGCTGAATTGTCCTTCATAATCATGCATCTCTCCTGAAGCGTAATTCCATAATGGCTTCCTCCCCATCTCTATGTCACTCATGGCTTTCCCTATGACAGGACTAACAAAATTGGCGCCGACTGGTGTAGGAAGAACTTCAGGATCTTTTGGAACTTTTGCCCTGAAATTGTTCTTGGATGGAGAAATTCTTGTGCAGAATACCTCCATGAAGTTCTTCATTGTCCCTTTGTTGAATGGGTTCTCTCGTCCATCGTACCGGTATCTAAAGTTTTCATAGGTAGACTGCCAAAGCACAACAAAAGAGAACTCTAACATTACAAGACGAATAAACCTGAATTTAAAGGTACAGATGGATTTACACGAATAAATATCACCACACAGCACAGCAGGATTTTTTGAATTAATGAGCTTCTAACCTGGTTTGTACTGATGAGATATGAGTGGAACATACTAAGACCGCCGACAAACCAAAAGGCAATGAAACTGTAAATAATGAGCCCAATGGAGGCGGGAGTCTTAATTAGCGCCTTCCAAATTGATATATCCTCGCCGTGCATGATCCTCACAACGTAGACCCAGCAAAACCCTTGTACATATAAGCAAAGAAGAGTTGCAGAGAAGACGAACATGAAGAAGAACCTGTAGTTCCGCTGTACACAGAAATCAAAGGCAGTTTACATAAATTTGAGCAATTGGTTTGGGTTATTGTGATTCTTATAATCAAATATACATTAATCATCCATTCAAACTAAGCACCTCCACAGAATTAAGGAAATATAAATAGAAAAGCACCAGAGTTTAGGTCTTGAAAGTATGTCCCTCACCAATCCAATACATTGGCCAACCCAAGGGCAGTGATGGTCGAATCGCTGCACGCAGTTATTGCATATGGAACAGTGAGAACAACGAGGAGGTCTGTAAAGCATACAGGTGTCGCAAAACTTGATCTTCACAGTAATACCATTGATAACTACTTCCTTCATGCGTGGAAAACGTGACTGTTGTGATTCACTAGACCCACTCTCTATACTCGCATCGTAATCCTCTGGCTCTGGAGGGTTAAGATTACGAGGTACTATACCAGGATCTCTTCCTGAGGTTAGTAGAAGAAAAACCAAAACCTGAGGAAACAAATACACACGTTTCCATCCATCAGAACATAATTTGTTGCATCTAACTTCAGAAATCTGATGTGATTACATAACACAAGAAAACCCAGCATTGCAATTATCGTTGGTAGTTCATAGTTCAGACATTCATGAAAAAAGAGTGTCGACTAAGTAGAAAACTAGGCGTAAAAACTATCACCAGAATTATCAGTTATAACTAATGAGCTACACATTAGTAAACTTTACACTTGTGCATTGAGCAAATATGAATACATACAATCTTACCAACTACTATAACAGAATTCAAATAGGAAAAGGACTTACAAGTAGCGTCCATACGCAAACAGCAATAATTACTGAAATTCCCAAGTGATCAATTAGTTTTCTTCCTACAAAGATGCAGAAAACTGCAACAGGCACAGTAAGGAGGGATACTGTTAACGGAAGAGATCTGACATCGGGTCCAAATATAAGCCTTCCACCAAGGAAAAATATCTGCAGAATAAAACAGTCAACAATGTGTTTGAGTAAACATAAACGCATAACAGAAGGATGCATAAGCTGCCACTTAAAGGGAAAGACAAACCAAAAGAAAAGCTTATATGCCGAAAGGTCAAATTGTCATTAAAAAGGGCGATAGAATCCACAGGAAAGGTTATCCTCCCCTTATGCTACAACATGATCAATGAGCTTAAGATTCAGACTTTGAGGATTGTATGGCTAAAGGGTATGCTGGAAATGCCAAAGCAGTGACCTAAATTGTAAACCCAAAGCCGAACAAGATAGTGTGTCCGTCCCCTTGCATCCAAGTTCAAATCCCCCTCCAATAAACTAGAGTAGTTCATAATATTGTCTTGCCAAAATATAAAAAGTACACAAATTGGCCATAATCCCCAGTTTTCCAAGCAATAATTAAAGCTAATTTGTGTCCATTCAATCACCAAACAAATTACCACTCCTTAAAAGCAGTCACAACCCAAATCAATCACAATTTTGCATCTTTCAACACCTTCCTAATAAAAAAGCAATCATCTTTCAATCAAACACCCAAAAGAAAGAAACATCTTTCAATTTCAGCAACTGGGTAACTCCAAGATTCCCCAAAAGTGAGCAAAATCAAGAAAAGCGAACAATACTTCACATATTGAACAAAACCCAAGTGAGAGATTCAGCTTACATTGCTGCCTTTCCAGGTCTTGTAAGTCCTGACCAGCTCCGGCCCACCAGCGGCAGCGCCGCCGGCAGGGGAGTGCCGAAGGTGGTGATTCGGCTCCGCATTCATCAGCGTTCTTGGGGGGCGGCCGTGAAAGAAGTGAAAAAATTGGAAAAGTAATTAACAGAAGTCAAAGAAAGGTTGGTGCTTTAGAGGTGGGCTGGAGTTGACTATTCTTCAATCAGCAGCAGCATCCTCTGTAAGACTGAATCCTAAAAGAAAATCAGAAGAAGCTCTCTATCTCCCCTCGATTGGATTAAGGCAATAGGTGTCAATTCCCGCAACTACTGGAGGAGTAGAGAGAGAAGTGGTCAAGTCTTGCAACTACGTACACAGTTTGAATCATACACAATTACACGTACGTACATACATACATACATATGCTATTCGTACAATGTTTTTATATCACATTTTCATACCATTTTAGGTAACATTTGATGTAGACAGCCACATTATTGGAATTATTCAGATTTTTAAATTTGGTTCATTATTTAATAACTAATAATCAAGAAATATTAGTTAATTAAATGATGATCGTGGTATGCGAGAAGTCTTTCTCCTTCATTTCCTTGGGTTTTGAAAAATTTGCATATCATATGCAAATTTTTCAAATGATTAATCAAATTTTTCTTAGATGGTATAGAAATGTGGTATAAAAACATGATAAGAATAACATTACTCATACATACATACATACACATGTAATGTCGGGGTTTGGGCTACGAGAGATATTGGGCATTTTGTAGGGATTAACTATTAAGCATCGTTTTGGTCTCTCCTTGGGTCAGGAGTGTGAATGGGATGTTTCTCCTCCTTTATTCATTTCTAATTTATTCTTGGAAGAATGTGTGTTGCCTTGATATGGCTTATTGTATCTCAAACTATGTAATGAAGTTCCTCAATCAACGAATCTACTATCTTTTCTTTTCACAAAAAAAAAAAAAAAAAAAAACGCATACTGAATTATGTTTTCTAGTCCAGCCGTATGGGCCTAATTTCTTTTTAACACAATGATATATTTATATTAAAAGTGATAAAATAAATTAGTATCGAACTCGTCATCTATGAAATTCAAATTTAAGGCCTCTTACTTACAAATAAAATTGAATACTACTAAACTATAATACTAAATAACATTTTTTTATTTAGCAGGCACGTCTCGAAAAATATAAAAGAAGATGTAAATATATATTTTTCGGTCCTGCAATTACATCTCTAATTATTGATGCTCTAAGAGGTCCTGCAATTGGACACTTGGCGCAAAAAATAGAGGAAAAAAAAAAAAACAACAACAACACTAAAGACACATGATTCCTTCCTCATCACGACCTCTAAATTTAAGGACATACTATAAAAATCCCGATGTCCCCATGCTGTCAAATTTCTTCACATTATTTAGTTTTCGGGCACATGACATTTTTAAACACAAAATTGAATGAAATGTGGGAAACTTCTTTCTAGGGAAGACATGGAGAATTTTCATAATTTAGTCCAAAAATTTTGAAGCAAACAAAAAATCAAATTTAGAGAGGATTTTGACGTACTCTAATAATTTGCAAGTGGAGTAATAATATCACCACATATATAATTCAAATTTCCATATAAAATTATCAACACATTATTATATACTTTTCTGTTTCAAGACGGATCAACACTGTGAAAGTCTTATAATAATATGCCTTTATTTATTTATTTATTTATTTTTTTTCTTTTTTGATCAAGCTGGAAATGCATTATCAAGCAAAACGAAAGAGTACACATGAAAGCCCACAGCGGGACTAACAGAGGAGAAAAATATACATGATTTTACAACTAAAAGCAGTGTAAGGGGGAATACATGAAGAAGGACGTTGCACTTGGTGCTAAGCATCTCCCCTCCTACACTACTCAAAACTTCAACTTGAAGGAGGACAAGGCAAACCATCTTTGTTGAGAACATGAACCAACGAAGATGGTGGTTTGTCGACCCAAGATTGAACACTCATCTCCGGAGATGTGAAAAACGCCAAATGATCAGCCGCCATATTAGCTGTTCTTGGAACCCAAGACCAGCAACAGACTTGAAAAGACTCCCCCAATTGAGCAATTTTCGTAAGGGTGGGGAAAGCTTCCCAACTCCCATTTTGAAAGGATTTCCTCAAGCACAAGATTGTTTCCTTTGAGTCAAACTCCACGATCACCTTATTTAAACTCAACTGCTTAGCAAACATACATCCCTCCAACACCGCCAACGCCTCTGCCACAACAACATTAGAAGCCTTGATTAGGGATTTTCTAGCAGCAACAAACATAGAATTTTGATCTCGAATTACAATTCCAACATACCCATTTCGAGTACCGAAGTTCCAACTAGCATCCATGTTGATCTTAACACACTCTAAATCAGGAGGAGACCAAACAGTGGGTTGGGAAGAATCACGTTGCCCCGCTGGACTGCTTGAAGGATTTTTTTTTCCATAGCTTGTTCAAAAACCGCCAAAGCACAAGAAATGGCCTGAGTTACATGTGTAGGAAAGATTGGCTTATGGTTCAAGACAACATCACACCTTGCCTTCCATATGTGCCAGCAAGTAAAAGCCACTTGAGACATCAGTGTGGATTTCTCCAACTTAGAACCCAGATGAGCACTAATTAACGAATGTAACCAAGAGCCAAAAGTAGCGATTTCATCTTTATTTATCTTGTAGTTTAGTTGCCCGCCAAACCAAATAGGCTCCACCCACAGACACAAGAGTAGAAGATGCTCCACCGATTCCTCATTGTCATTGCAGATTAGGCAGATTGGAGAAGGTGACGACCTTCGTTTGAATAGATTAGCCATAGTTGCAAGGGCCCTGTGTAAAGCTTTCCGTAAGAGATTTTTAATTTTTGGCGGCGTCTTCAGATTTCAAATATATTTCCAAACTTGACTGCTTGGCACACTAGAAGAATAGGGACATTGCAATCTGCTGGAAACCTCCATGTTATGCTGCCAATGGTAACCCGATTGTATCGCATTCAACCCGTTCTTTACTAGCGGCCATACAAGCGTATCCATGCTCTACAGATTACCATTGTGTGTATCATCGCTAAATATTCATGGTCCGTAATAAAAGGTCTTATAAATTCAAGCTCCCATTGTTGAGTATCACAATCGATTAAAGATTCAACTTTTTGATTTCGACTAACAGAACCAGAACCTTGCGGTGAATGATGGCCACTGGGGAGAGAAGGGAGCCACCTATCGAACCAAATCTTAACATTGAAACCATTCATAACCTGCCAATGGGGGTCATTTAGAAGAATCCCTCTCCCGTCTAACAAACTCGCCCAAGCCCACAACGCTCTGCATCCTCTTATAGCGTCAAGGAACGAGGTGGAAAGGAAGTACCTGGCTTTAAGAACCTTAACCTAGGGAGAATCTGGCTCATTAATAATTCTCTAACATTGTTTAGCAAGTAGGGCAACGTTGAACTCTTGTAGATTCCTGAAACCCATAACCCCATCAGTTTTTGGCAAACCCATGGTCTCCCAATTAACCCAATGAATTTTCCGTTCATCATGTTTTTGTCCCCAGTAGAATCTAGCAATTAAAGAATCAATTTCTCTACATATGGACACAGGAAACTTGAAAATATTCATTGGGTATAACGGAATAATTTCCAGGGTCATCAACAGCTTGCATACCAGGTATCTCACAAAGCTCACTTGCAATAATCGAAGGTGTATTTGCACTAAAATAAATATTGGACTTCTGTAAACTCACTTGCTGCCCCGAGGCTGCACAATAATCATTTAGAATAAGCTTTGATAAATCTCGATTCTACCGCTGTTTGAATAAGATTTGATAAGACATCACTGACAAGAAGAAATAGGTATGGTGGCAATGGATCACCCTGACGTAACCCGCGGGATGGGGAGAATCTCCTTCCTGGCTGACCGTTTACAATTACTGCAAAGTCCACTGTCTTCACACAACTCATAACAAGATAATTCACTTTCTATCAAACCCCATTTTTGTCATTACCACCTCTAAAAAATCTCATTCCGCTCGACCATAGGTCTTGTTCATTTCAAGCTTGATACCTATCTCATATTTATGTTTCGTTTTCCTCGGTTTAAGAAAGTGAAAGACTTCATGAGCAATGACAATATTATCATGTATTTGTCTACCGGCCACAAACAGATTCTGCATTGGAGAAATCAGGCTCGGGACTGTTGGAAATTCAAATCAAAACAAGTTGCTATTGTTGAAAATCAATGTCAAAGTTAGGCATTGAAAGTTAGGCAATGTTAGGTATGGTTGAATAAAAATTATTAGGTGCAATTAATGTGTTTTGTGTGGTAATAAATAATCTTAGTTTAATCATTTGGTTTGCTATAAATACCCAAGTTCTCAAGCATTGTATATCATCCCATCAAAATCCCATTTCTCATTCTCATTTTAAGCTTGTAAGCTATAGAGTTTGTAAACTCTCTTTTCATATATCAAAGTCCAAGTGTTTTATCAAAGCTTGTTGCTTCCCTCCTTTCTCTATTTCTTTGTCCAATTTTATTTGAGAGTGCAAAGTGAAAAAGGTGTGATAGAGTTTGTAAACTTATCACCCACATATTTTGGTATTGAGTTAGTAAACTGTCAAATACCAACAGGGACCTCCTATCTGTTAAACCGCCTCTTTTATTTCTTGATCCTCAATCGAGCATGTAAAACTAGAATTCATCTCCCGAGTGACCAAATGGTCGATGCTTTCCACTGTCGAACCCCAATCTCTCGGACCCTCTGAAGTGAATAACTTAATAAAGTGATCCTCCATCGTGGTTCTTACCCTATTCAGGTTATCAGTCCATCTGCCATCACTATCTTTTATTTTTACGAAACTATTATGCCTTCTTCGTTGAATTGTGGATTGGTGGAAAAAAGCAGTGTTGGCATCTCCTTCACGCAGCCATTTCATCCTAGAACTTTGCTGCTAGTATCTTTCCTCCTGCTCCCAAAGTTGATCAATATGAAAAGACAAAGATTTGATTTGTTCAAAGTTGTCCTTCCAATTCATTTGTAGGTCGTCCGGCTGATGCACAAGAGCTTCAATTTTAACCCCCCTCTGACGGAATTTCATTTTACTCCAATTCAACAACTGACTGGGACATGCATTAATCTTTCTTTGCCATTTTTCCAGCCACCCACCTTCACACGTCTTCCCCCAGCAAGACCTGAGAATTTCCTTACACTCAGCATCTTTAAACCAGAAAGCCTCATACTTGAATAAACGTATGGCTTTTTTTTTTTTTTTTTTTTTTTTTTTTTGTTCAAGCATATATAGTTGTTGAATATTTCAAAGGTCGAG